AACAACTGATCTTGTTTTGATAGTTTAGGATGCATAAGAAACATGAAGTATGAACATAAATTCAGAAAAGGTTTTTTGGCAGGTTGACTGTTACCTGTATAGTGATCTTTTGTTGCACAAAGTCTTTTCTCCTTCTGTAAATAAGCTATAAAATCCTATTTGGTAGCTTTTGTTATGGGCTGTAGCTATGAGAAGGAGGTTTCTGTCACAACCAGTGTTTTACTATGTGAACTGTTTGAGATTAGGTTTCTGGGAAGTTCAGTTCCTAGTTTTAAGGATCTTGATGTATGTGAGAACTGATGAATCCTGAATTAATTTAAAAAATCAGGGTATGTGTTTTCTTTATCAAGAAATATGATTCTTATAACTGTAGTTAATAGTTTAATATTGTTCAGGATGTTTCATACTGGAAAGCTTCCTTTATGCTTTTGAGCAAACTCTGCATGTAAATGCAAGGACCAATAGGCAATGTGAGCCACAGACCTCAGTGGCGGCAGAACAGAACCCAGATTTTTCACTGTGAGCATATGTGCATGCATGCTTCTAAGCAACTTTTCCGTTCTAACCTGTATGTTCCCAAACTACCTGCTTTAGGATTATAGTTTTTATCTTGAGGAGATGCAGCATAGGGATATGTGACTGAGGTTAAACAGTAATTATGTGGCACTGATTGGAAGGTCTGAGATAAGCCTAATAGAGAAGCTAACAAATATGGGTTTTTTAGGGTCAGTAGAGGAGGCAAAGGCTTACTATGTTGGAACTAGGGCTCTATGGGGAAAGCATGTTGAGTTATGATGGCACTGTTTCTTTATGGTATAATCTGACCTTTTTCATTCTACTCAGTTCATGACCAGTCTCAGTCAAAAAAGCCGAGTGATGAGGAAAAGCCCTTGTGTTAATATGTGCTTAGAAAGGCATTCAAGGTCAGACCTCCTGCTCTCTGGCCCCTTAAAGCTTTTGACTAGACTTTTAAATACCTCACAGCTTCTGTAGAATAAAAGGTGGTGTACTCAGCATTTCAAATGAAACTTTAATACTGTACAAAAGGTCTGAAGTTGCTGAAGCAGCACAGCTGAAGTCCTTGAAGCTGTGCAAATTGGGATAATTTTCCAAGTTAACAGAGGTTTGTGGTGCGCTTTCAGCGTGAAAAGTGTTCATAGAACTAGAGACAGGATGGTAGAGAGTTAGTGGTGGGATGAACTGGTATGGATTTAACCAAGAACAGGGATTTTTTTTTTACAGTCATGAGGGGGTTATTTTTGACGATGTGATCATAAGGGCAGGACAAGCAAAGAAGTTTATTAGGTTGTAAGCAGGGAGAAATGGGGAGTGAGGAACTTGATTTAAAGTTGAATTATGGGTTAATACTGCGAATCAGACATGCTTGAGTGGGCAGAGCTGGAGGAATTTGACACGTACTGATAAGCTACATGCAGCTCAGATATGCCTTGGGCAATATTTGACTTTGTGGAAACAGTTTTTACCTTTTTTTAAAGGAACAGTCTGATAAATATCTGTTGATTTTATTAAAAAAAGTTTGCGCTGGGTGCTATTAGCATCATTAAATAGCTTTGATAAAGCTAAATATTGTCAGAAAAAATGTGGATATGTGCATGTATGCACATGAGTATGCAGTATTTCTAGGGAAGTCATGATAGAAGGAAAGCTTTCATGCAAAATACTTATCTTGTGCATCAAAATATCTTAATCCAAAAGAAAAGTTTACCAAGAAACAAGAGGGGAAAAAAGTTAAGACTGTTACATTAACACAGAAGTTCATATACCTTCTGTTTTCTATTTCTCTTATGCTTCAGCCATAATATAAAGGAAAAAGTACAAAATGTTCTTGTAACGTTTCAGTCGAAATTTTCTTTTTACAAGAAAATGTAATTTATTATTTCATATTCAATGCAGTACAAACCTGAGTTTTGCTGCCTTACGGTGTTTTACACTAATTGAACACTCCCATGGCACAAGTATACATGACTACATGATATGCAAGAAAATGCATTTTAAAGACTCGGGATTTGGCTTATCAAACTGTTAACTTGGCAGCCACCATTTTATAAGCCCTAAGACAATGGTGAATTTTCTTTGCTTAGCTGATACCTAAAAAAGTATCATTAGAGTTTGGCTAGAACAACTTTCATTTCAGGGCATAAACTGGAAGAGAAAAGGACTTCAGTGTTCATCAGTAAGCATAATACTTCATATGACTAGAGATTTAAAAAATAATTTTAGAAAAGTCAAATTCTAAAGCTGAGATGAATAACATCTCTCAGTATTTTGTGATGTGCCCACAAAGAGCTTTAAAATGAAACTAGATGTGATTTAGCCTAATAAACCCTTGACCTCATTAATCTTCTCTTAGATTCCTCTTCCTCTGCCTTTGACATTCTGGCTGAGGTTGTATGGCAGGACCTTGATAGTCTGCTATACCAGTCTTTTCAGCCCTTTTTCTCAGTAGCTGAGCCCTTCATCTCATGTTCTTGTCAGGAAGCAAGACCATTCCTCTAGTTCTGTGTCACTTAAGGCTTTTATTAGTAGTAACGAAGATACCTCTTGTCTGTGTCCCTGCTTTCAGCTGCTACTGTGCTGAATTTAGTGATGGTTTGTATTACAGTTTCTTTAAACATAGCTTAAAAGGCTGCTTTTATGCTCTGTTTATGTCCTGTGGTATTTTCTGAATTATCCCAGAAACTGGTCTTCATGTCATTTTGCATCATTCCTGTATTACTTCCTTTGGCTGGCTGTTACCTGCTGCCATGCATTTTGTTCTACCCGGTTCCTGTCTCTTCTCCCAAGATTTCGGCTTTAATGTCATGTTTTTTGGCTGACCTCTCCCAACTCCACTGTTCTAGCACCTTGTTACTGGCACCGGTTTCGTTTTAAGTATCTTTTCTAAGGACGTGCTAACGGCTCTGTTGTCTCCCCTTTCTCCAGGACAAACAGGAGCATGCCTTCTTCGAAAAATGAATTTTGCTTAGTGGCTGCAAAGCGGGTGCTCTGAAGTATCTCTTAAATGGTATTATTGCTATTTGGATAAAAAGTAGGTGACATTTTTAAAAGAATAATTAAAATATTTATTTGAGTGAGTCTAGACAGTGGTGCATCTGAAGAGCTTAAAATCTGTTTCTTCTTGTTGTTCCCTCTTGTTCACTCATGCTTGGGAATAACATGGTGATGTATACAAACATTTTTGACATTGCTTAATGTCTGTCAGCTGTCTGTCCATCACCTGCACGCTGGTGGCAGTCAAAACTGCCCTCAGTAAAGTTTAAGAGAATTTCAGTTTTCAGAGTAGTCACTTCACAGGCACAAGTCAACTTCATACCCTTCTCCAACCCTGACAACAGTTAGAAGCAGGTGACAACAATCTTCTGGCATTTTCTCCAGAAAGCTGAAAGGGAAGGGAGGTAAACAGAGATACTTCCAAAAGCATCTCTACAGGCTTTCTGGAAAAATGAAGGAGAGAAGAACCGTTATAGGATACAGGGAAGGAGTGCTGGAGGCTGTTGTATACTCAAGTTAATAATTCGGGAGTTTTGATACAGCTGACTTATATATATGGGAATTGTTTGCATTTGGGCTACAGTAGACACTGATAGCTTAGTGTAGGGCTCTTTCATGTAAAGACACTGATGCTACAGATGTTGCTCATCTGTGTCTGTTTTTAGCAATCAACCATTTCACATAAGTTGACCCAAAGGAGACATACTTGTTGGGTGTGTTACTAGGTCCCCTGAAAAGTCTTAACAACAGGACATATATGATTTTTTTAGGTGAGTTGAGCAGTTAAGTGCCAAATTATTTATAGTCAGATACTTACTGTTTTTTCATTTTGAAGGTATTGTTGGGAATACTCTCGAAAAATGTTAGACGCTTATGAACATGGGAATTTGAACAGCAAACAATGTGGCAGAAGGCTTGTGAGGTGACTGAGAAAGCAGTTTTCTCAAAGTATTTGTTTGAAGCAAAACAAGTACAGAATTCAGCTAGCAAGCAGAGGTAGTTTTAAAAGGAACAGGCACCAAATTTAAAAACAAGTGAAGTAGAACTTTTTAATAAGGAGGATTTTAGGATATTTTGTAAGTACTGGTGTTCGAATAGACACTGAAATAGTTTCCTGGAAATGCAGTTCATAAGAATTTATATTGAATTAACTAACGACGAGTAGTCATTTTGGACATTTCCATTAAATCAATTTTTTGCAGTAGTGACTAAAATCTATTATATGATAAATTTTTTGGACAAGGGACTCATGAGTTGAGCAGCAGAAAGATTCTGTTTGTTCTCCCTCTTTCCCATCCCGCAACTCTGCTTCCCCCTTTCTTTTGGGTCTTATCTCTAGGAGATGCCACTGAATGGTTGAGGGTATAGTGCTTTGCTGCCCTGGCCCTAATTTTTCTCTTCATCCCTGACCCACCACCTGTTCTCTCCTTCCAGCCCTATTATCTCTTTCTCTTGCCTTATCCTCCTCGGAACCACAGAGTCTTTATTGACACCCTGCTCCTGTGCCATCTCCATGCGCCAGCAGTTAGCTGTTAAGAATGAGAGGCACTGCTGGTTGGAGAGAATAGGGGAGGCATGGTATGCTCCACCAACCGAAATTAGGAAGAAGACAGAACGACGTGGGCCCATCAGAGCTCAGCCAGGTTCTGTGGGGCACCACACGACTCCTGTTGCTGATATTTCAGTATTGTGATAGTACTGGCCCCTGGTAACTCTGGTCCTGTTTGATAGTGCCTAGATTTAAAATAGTGGCACATCACTGTCCTGTATATTTAAACTGTTAGTGGATAGCTATCCTAATGAAAGCAATAGTGTGATGTTGGCAACAGCTAGAAAATGTTTCAATGCCTCATCAACTTTTTTGCAGCAGTATTTTGTAGCTCCCCTTTTCAGATGTTGATTAAATTGCCTTTCTTTAAGTGTTTTTTTTTTTCTTACATTTCTTACTTAGAATCATCATGACTTGTTTTTGTTTTCAGGTGCTGACTATGAAGGTATCAGTACAGGCTGTGGCAGTGTGGGGGAAAATAGCTCCTTCTCACAGCATCACTGCTATTATGATTACAGATGACCAGCAGACTATAGTTACGGGAAGTCAAGAAGGACAAATATGTCTCTGGGATCTTTCATCAGAATTAAAGGTTTGTGTCCACTGTGCTACAATCTGCCAAACAGACAGATTGGAGTTTTATCTTTTATTATTAACAATGGGATTATCCAGACTTGTGCTTACATAGATTAAGTTTTAAAGATAGTGTGATATTTGTTATAGGAAACTCATGAAGAAAAAGTGTTGAAATGCCTGTATGAGCAACCAGTTGTTTGCAGACTTTGGAAATTTTTTTTCATGGGTTATCATGACCTGTGGATTATAATTTGAGATTGTGTGCTGTAAGTAATAACAGCGAGTAAACATACACAATTACCATGATTCCTATCTTGTAAAGTCTTTTTTTCTTTTTTTTTTAATCAATTGCTGAGCATGGCCTATCATTTGAGGGGGAAAAAAAATCTATTTATAAAACCAGAGCTATCTACCAGATTAACAATGCAAAAATTTGTAGAAAGGTGGAAGAAGTAAGATGAAATATGTATTTTTGGTATAATTAAGCTGCAAACCTTCTGGCATATTATTGCTATTGCTTTGACTATTTTGTATTTATTTTCCGGAGAAGAGAACAGTCAAAGCAGTTCCAGTTTTTTATTCTGCATTCAGAGAACTATGGTTCTATTCTTTTTGGATTTGGCTGCCCCATTTGTGTTCAAATATAGCTTGAAACTTTAGTTTGCACTTTTATGGGGCTACCTTTTTCCATTAAGATCTTTCCAGACAGTGAAGATAATCGAAGGGATTACTTAAACACGTTGTATGAAACACATGCTTAAGAGCTTTGCTGTATCAATTCCCTACTTCGCTCTGCCACTTCTGCATTCTGTAGGGTGAAGGCCAGAGATATTCTGCACATTGCCTGTTTTATAACACTTGACGCTCCATAAATTCTTCAGAAGGTGCAATTTTTAGACTACAGTGGATACAAAGACTGTACTTTATACAAACTGCATAATCCATCCACATCTTTGTACGTTCCAAAAACATGACTAAAGAATGTAAGAATATAAAGTAGATTGACAATTACTCATTAATAATAACATCTACAAGTAGTATTCTCTAGCTTTTAGATCTTAGTTTATACAGAAAATATTATATTTAAGTTAAACAATTGTATTATTCTCCTAGATTTCATCTAAAGAAATTCTCTTTGGCCATACTGCTTCTGTAACTTGTTTGGCAAAAGCAAGAGAGTTTGAGAAACAGCCATATGTAGTAAGTGCTACTGAAAATGGGTAGGTAACTGAATATTCAATTATTCATTTCTTAAATCATTAAATGTATGGCAGGCATAGGTCGGATTCTGCATTCAGCAGAAGGTTTTTAATCTGTTTTCTTCTGATATGAAAAAGAGAACAGCTACTTAGGCTAATGACTGTATTGCTTATATACAATAGTCTAACTAAGAACTCATCTCTTGGACAACCAGAAGGGTTTGGCAGATTCAGATACCCAGTTAGGAGTCAGGAGAATGAATTGGTCAGAGGGTCAGGTAGGCCCCATTCAAAGGGAGAATAATGGGCTGTTGGAGGCAATCAGCAGGTTTAGAAGCATTTTAATATCATGGTGCTTTTTTTCTGTTCCTTCCTGAGCTCAGTCTTGAGAATTGAGTAAGTACAAGAGGCTAATGTACTCTGATCTAGGTTAGGCTTGCTCAGTGAGTCGGTATGGAAGCAGAGAAAAGACTGCCTTTGAATAAAAGGCATATATGTTCCTTGTCTTTGTTTAAATCTAACTTGCTATTTTGGAGTACATCCTTTTAGAGGCTCCCGATCTTGCAGCTTTTTTCCTATGTGTTTGTTATGACTTGGCCCATCACTTGAGTCAAACTAGTTTCTGCAGTTCTGCTAGGTTAGCATTCAAGAATTTTTTTCTCTGAATATTTGATAATCTTTTCAGCTGGGGTCTGAAGCCCATCTGTTCAGGATTTCAGCTGTTGAAAGTAGTTAGGACTAGCTTCTTACTTCCTTAAGGGCTTTCCTTAAACAGTTTTGTCTTGCTGCTTAATGATAGTCTCCTCTCATTTTGGGTTCATCTTTTCCAATTAACAGGGCAGCTCTGTTAAAACCTCTTCCCATGAATAGTTCCTGTCAATTGCCCTTCTTCATGCTACACCTTCCAGCATCTTAAGGCTACTACTTTCTCATAGGTGGTAAATAGTTCTCATTGTTATGTACAGAAAGGAGGGTGAGAAGTCTACAGAACTAGTTTTGTATTGGCCTCTTACAATTCTACTCAAGGGTTCAGAGGTTTTTCATCTTCATTCTGAAGTTCTGTTAGTTCTCCCAGATCAAACTGGGAGAAAAGATACTGTATTTCCAAAAAAACTGGGATGAAAAGCATTAAGAAACAAATGAGGTTTTTGCTATAGATATACCATACAGAGAGATGTTCATATCCTAAAGGTTCTGCCTCTGAAGGGATCATTGGGCTTGCTTGGAATGTATATAGGTAGGACTGAATAGTCTTCTGGCCCCTTTAAATGTTCACTTTTACCAAATTACGGCTGACTTCTCATCTGTATTACATAAGGGCAAAGCGTCCATCACTGATCCCTAGAAGGCTGCAACATGAAGTTGAGATAATTACAAATGGGAAGCCTCATCTTCAGGAGGTGCAGGGTTTGTCGAGCTGCATTTTCTGGCTTGTGAATCATTCACTTCTGCTATTTTCAAGCTTCCATTTCCTTGTATTGAGGGTGGAGGAAATTGTATGGAAGATGGTACTCTACCCCCCAATCCCACTTCAGAATCTCAAGTGTTTATATAACTTATCCCAGAAGGATTAGTATTGAATAGTATTTTTGTACTTTTTATATGGAAATCTATAAATTAATCCATAATGATTCAGATGTTCTCACTGATGTCCTGTGCATGCATATAGCATATGCTGTAGAACAGGTTTATCAGCATGTGGTATCACTCACTCCTTGTTAGTACACACAGTAAATTAAATGCAACATGCAGAAGCTGAAGTTATATTCTGGTCTCATTTGTACATGTTTGCATGTATGTATCAACTTTACTGGTTTAGCTATGTTACTGTAATTGTCATTCTGATATAAACAAGGAGAAATTCACTGCCTTGAAACGTTTATGAAACAGCATACACATTCTGTTTAAGTTATGACTTTTGGTCTACCAACTCTGACGCTACACTACAGATGTATAGATTTCACTGCTCTTGCTCAGCTGAAAAATATAAATTAAGTAATATTTTTAGGTTATCATAAAATGTGAAAGTGTGTAGATTAAAATGTAAATCACTAAGTAGTATTTCTGATATAATAAAATTTGTTTCCCCAATGTGTTCTTTAAGTCCTCATACAGAAAATGTCTTAGAATGTAATTTCAGAAATCATAAAATGATTGTTTCAACTGTGGAAATAATGCTTGCTGTTTAAATAAAATTTGAAAGCATCAAAGTTTAACATTCAGTTGCTGAGCTATGACAACGTAGCTCATACAACCTCATTTACAACATTTAATTTAATTGTGTTTCTCTTGTACTCTAGTCCCATAGCATGTTGAATAATGTCTAGATGCGGAAGACTGGCTAACGTGTCTTTCTCAAAACATTAACTTTAATTGTAGTTAAGCGTAGCTAAATGTTGCACAGACATTTAGGTTGTCAAGAGGCGAGTGCTGTACCAATAACAGATTTCAGGAATAGCCTCATGGTGGCACTGTTTCTTCTTAACAGAAGTTGCGGTTCCTCTCAAGAGCTGAAGTCTGATGCGGCAGAAGATGCGTTGGGTTTTTCAGAACCTGTGGTTTAGATTCAGTGAAATGAATCATTTTCAGGAGGATGTAGTTCCAACGACAGATAGTTACACTGACGTGTTGACGAGCTGTAATGGCAGTATACCAACAAATTGTTGTAGACCAGAGTTGGCCTTAAAGTCAGGTTTGCTGCAAGGCAGCAGGGTGTAATTACCAAAACAAAAAGAAACAGATACTGTATGTCATCCCCTGCTAATGACCACAACATTTTCTTACCCAGTAATTTGTAACAAAAAGCCACATAAACGACCAGACTGCACTTAAGTACAGCACTACAGAAAAACTTGGTGGCACAAAATTATTCCAGCCAATTGAGTGGAAATGACAGAGAATAATATAAAGTTATCTTTGGCAGGGAGATGTGTGTTTGGAATGTCACTAGTGGACAGTGCATTGAGAACGCAAAGCTTCCTTATAGGCATACAGCAATCTATGTAAGTATAGCAACTTTTCATGGAATATCTCCCTCATTACAAGAGGAGTTTTGCTTTATTAACATGATATTTTTCAGAAACATGCAATTTTAAATGTATAGCTCATAACATACTTAATAGGAGAAAAAAAACCTGTTGCAATATAAGTAGTTTTATATCTGTTATTTTTTCTTTTTTGACTTCCTTCTAAGAAAAGAACTGAGACTTTTATGTTCCTCTGAACTCCTTAATCAAATCAAACTGATTGTTGGAGTGTGAGGGTGTGTTTGAAATACATGTGTGTATATGATTGAGGAGCCCAGCACCTATGGATTTGATTCAGAGAGATGGCTTATTTCTGGATATATTAGTAGAAGAAGAGCTCAGGGCTCCTAGGTTAATTAAAATTATGTTTTTCTTCAGTGAGGAAGTCTAGGGTAGAACTAAGCCTCCAAATGATGGAAGTCTGAGGTCTCATGTGACTCAAACTAGGGCCAAATTCAGAATCCAAATGTTTTAAAGCTTCTGGAAGAAACACTGTTTTTCATGACACTGTTTTGGTTGACAACCACAGTTGTTAATGATAAAGCGAAGAGAAAAAGCTTGGGTAAGTTACCAAATAAAAATTATAGAAGAATAACTTCTTAATAATATATGCTTTTACATATATATGTGTGTGTATGTATATATATAAAAGCATAGATTGTTAAGAAGTTTTTCTTCTATAATTTTTATTTGTGTGTATGTTTAAAGCATATATATTCTTTTTACATATGTATGTATATACACACACAATTGTAATGTAATAGAGGTGCGGTACAATCTGCTTTGTGGTATTGCTTAATTAGATTTTAATAAAGTTATGGAGGAGTTCTGCGGAGAGGTAGACAGATCTGCATTATGGAGATCAGATGCAGAATCTTCATCCTTATCCTTCAAGCAGGAGAAACAAACACTGTCAGAAAATTGTTACTTCTCCTCTATTAGGAGAAATTAGATAAGTTAATTTTGGCTAGATAATGATTTTTGTTCTATAACTCAGGCAAGATGGCTAAAGGAAAATAGGAACATCTAACAGGAAAACTTGCTTAGAAAAGAGAATAGATGTTGCTAGGAGGGGAAACTATCCTTAAAATGCAACCTTCAGATATATATAATAAATGGATTTTTTTTTTTGTGAGGGTTTTTTGGAGGTTGGGTTTTTTGTTTTGTTGTAGGTTTTGTTGTTGTTCCATGGGGAATTATTGCATGTGGCATAATAGTACCTGAGAGAGTACAATTTCCTACAGAATATTATTGTCTGGGAGGTTTAGTGCACACTAATTTTGATAGCATCACCATTTAAAATTGCTGCTTTAATTTTAGTTAATGTTTTAGTAGGTTTTAATTAAACTACTAACCTATCTGGTCTAGTAGGTTCTTTTTGTTCAGCGTAGATGATTCAGCTATAAATGGCAGATGTCAAGCAGTGCAAACTGAGTATTTGCCATTTGAAATTAAGTTTAACACCAGGGTCAACTCTTAACCATTTGTGGATCTTAACCAGTGTGGGATTTTCTCAGAGGACTGACTGACTATACAAATCTTCCAGTTCAAGCCTAATTTAAGAGTAACAGTATTTACAAATGGTTCCTACTGCTAAGCATTTCTGCCTCTGATCACTCAAAATATCTGGTAATAGTTATCCTATTCCCAGTTACTTATGCTTCTTTTGTTTTCAGACTTCAATTAGCTAATTGAAGACCAAGAATTATTGTCTAAGCAAAACTGAATGTACAGAGAACTTGTAGTAAATGAGGCACGATTTTGTGGGTCTATCTGATATTTGCCTCTGACTACATGATTGTTCCTTTTACTTTAAGGAAACTATTTACTTGTAAATACCATTTGAGGTGGCTGCTTATGCATTTGTAGCAGTTATGTGTACAATTATGGATAGATATTACACAAAATGCAAATGTCCTTGCACGTATAAAACATAGCAAGAAAGAAATCTTCGTAGTCGCTCTGCACCTCTGTCATCTCTGTTCCTTAGTACTTTGCTATGTGTCTGTTTTTAGTTTTCTTTACATGATCATTGGGAAAGAATGAATCTTCTGAACACTAGGGCATTTAGTGTCATAATGAAGAATATCTCATGGAGTAGAAATTCTTCCTGGAAAATAATGGAAAATTCATTATGAATCTTCTGCATTTTCACCTGATTTTTCATCTTTACTTCTTGATAACTGGAGCTTTATTAAATGTTTGGAGAGAGATGAGGCCTCTCAGAGAAACAAGTCCCAAACTGTTTAGCAATTTATATCGAAAATTAACACCTTGATTGCTTCCAAAAATCCTAATACTTAAGCGGGGCAGATACTGCTTTCAGTACGAAGCACCTCTTACTAAGCTGTGTGCCTATATTAGATTCTTATAAATGTACGTGAAATACTTGTCACTAGCAAAATTGTGTATGGTCTCACATATGCAGTACGTTTTTAGTAATGCTACAAGTGTTGATTACAATTCCAAGTACAACATGCTGAATGTGAAAAATACGCATGCACATTTGTGTAGCTCTGTATGCTGACTCTCTTCTTTCCACTTGTGCAGTATTACCATTGCTCGTTCCGAATGACAGGTGAAGGCTGGCTTCTTTGTTGTGGAGAATATCAAGATGTTCTTATTATTGATGCTAAGACTTTGGGTGTTCTTCACACTTTATCATCATCTCAGTCTTCTGATTGGGTAACTTGTATGTGTATTGTACACTCTGCAAGAATTCAAGGTATACATTGTAGATGTATTTATGTAGGCCAATTAAATCGTGATAAAATATTTCTGTAAAGATAGTACAATCCTATTAAATTTAATATCTAATCATGTTTTACAAAGCTGTTATGTACAAGATGTTAACATTTCATTGACAGCACCTAAGAAGGTGTTTTTAATACTCCTACTGTTGGTCATGTTTCATTTAACATGTTTCTTCGAGAAGAACAAGCAGCCTCTACACTGGTCGTAAGCAGCTCATTTCTTGGATATAAGTACAAATTAATTTTGTAATACCAGGAAAATTAAGTGCACAAAACCACTATTCTATGCCTTCTATTGAAATAGATCTGATTGGACAAAATAATTATTCGCTACTTGCTTGCATGTTTTGTATTTCTGTATACCAATTAGTAATTTTTGTGTAAAATTAATATTTCATCTGAACATATCCTGCAGAATCCTTGTTCTAGTGCTATATAGAACACCAGTGTCTATGCCAAAGTTCTCTTTTGGTGTTAGGCACTGTTTGAACTGGGTTTCAAGTTGACTATCTTACTGTTAACTTTTCACAGAAGATTCATTGGTGGCAGTGTCTGTAACTGGAGTTCTTAAAGTGTGGGACCTATCTTCATCTTTGAATACCATACAGGTCAGTTTGTATGAGGTGTGAAACGATAACGTGAATGTAGTAATATTCTGAAGTAAAGGATACATTGAAGCAGACTGTGAATAAATTGGAATCTTCTGGATATGTATTGAACAGAATTGATTAATTTTGTCCCAAAACTCTGAAAACACACCCTCATGTTGCTATTTAAAATTAGTTGGGCCATTGGACAGCTCTTGCCTTGACAACTGCAATGTCTTTTGCCCAGGCTTCACGTCGTTCCATATTCCATGATGCCGAAGTTGTAATGCTTTCCTTCTGTCCTGATAATGTCACTCCATTCTTTGAACCCCTTCACTCCTTCCTTTAAACTCAAAGCTCTTCAAAATTGGCCTTTGTGTACTCCCTCTTCACCCTTTCTACTTTCTTCAAAAAGGTCCTTTAGACTCTGTTTTCATCTGTCTACCTCCAACAATGCTGTCTTCCACTTGGAAGAGACTTTTGCTGTGTCAAGTGCCCTATTTCTCCATCTTCAAACTTGCTTATTCTGTGCAACTTTTCTGTGTTAATATTCCCAGCAGCTGACACTTGACATGCATGAGTGTTAGAATTGGAATACAATGTTTTGTGTTTGAATTAAACTGAGAGCTAGATTCACAAAGGGACTTCAGTATTACAACTAAGTACTATGAATCATCAACAGAAATGGCAAAATGTCAACAGTCTTCTCGAACATCCATAATACATTACTGCCTTACTTGACAAACTGCAGAGCATGCTGCAGCACTACTTGTTAATGGGTAGAATCAGAAGAGTGTCAAGTTTGATACCGTACTGGTGTTTGTGATGTGTTTTTGGTTTATCTGCAATGTTTTGGAGGGGTCCTTTCAACATTCCTAGGGCAAAAAATACTGTCACACTGTAGAAATTCTGGGGACTGCAACAACTGATTACAGACATCAGAGAAGCATATGTGGTATGGTGCCATCCTTTTACTGCCTGGGGCCTTCTTTTGTGAAAGAAGGAGTGCAGAGTTAGTAACAGTCCAGCTACTTCATATGTTAAAGAGCAGTATTTTAATAAATATTTTTTTATTTAATTGGAATTAGTTGGAGCCGCAAGGTGTAGTGAGAGAATGGTTTGCAGTTTTATAGCCGTGATTCCATGACCAGCATACCCCTTCTTTGAGAGATTTTGATACTGGTGGTATCTTTCAGAACAGAAAACATCAATTTTCAGTGATTTAATAAATTAATAAATATAATTCCAATATAATAATTTTGAGCATGATGACCTTGATAAGTCCGATATTCACACAAAAAGAGTGAAAATACATGTATTTTTTTAAACCATCCGTACATTCAGCAATACAAAGCTAAGAAAATTAATTACTTTTCCACTACTTTTTAGAGGTGTTAATTTCAAACAAGACATATGACAACACCATATGTCTCAGACTGTCCTGGTTGCAACAAGGATGAGTGGGAAAGCAGAATATTCATCAGCCATTCTGAATCTGATACTGTCAGTTTATAGGTTGTTGTAGCTATTTTTTTGTCTGAAGAATACTTAGCAGATAATTCATTACAGCAGATGCTATCTATGACCTGCCTTTAGTCCTTCTCCATATTCATTATCACTTCTTTAAGTGAGATCAAGGTCTGAGCCATGTTGAATGTCTTCTGTTTACATGGTATTTGTGAACCCTGCTGTCTTCCTATTTCACTTTTAATTAAGAATTGTATGTTGCTTTGCATTTTGAAAGTGTATGTTAACAAAATTATTTTCAGTGGTTTGTTTTTATCCTAAAAGTAAAAGCTCAGATATCTAGAATAAATCTTACGGCTTTTTTCCTCTGTGCTGTAAAGGAGAGACAAAGTGTGTGCGAGAAGGAATCAAAATCTCTGGACTGTATAAATTGTCAAGCAGTTCGGTTTTGTACTTACACGGAAAGGCTCCTTCTAGTTGTGTCCTCCTCATGCTGGCAGGTACATTATTGAGCATTATACTTTATTTTTAATTTTGTTAATAATTTTGAAAAGCTAACATGATTTTTACATGCAGATACTTTTTATTTAAGCTGAGGAGAAAAACAAGTGTTCATTAATTGTCAGGTATAATAGTGCACTGTATCCCTTCTCTGCTTATCTTAATTGCCTGACTAAGATGAAGTGTTTATTTTTTATTAATGTATTTCTGGTTTAAAAGTTTAACATGAAATTGGCTGGGTAGAAAGGGGATTACTTTAAGTATTAGTCAGTTTTAGAGCACTGGGTGCATTATAGTTCCCTCCACAGTGCATTTCAAAAGGACACAAAGATGCACAAAAACTGTTTAAGTATGACAGAAGTAATCACAGTTGGCAAGCCCTCGGTAACCAGGGGCCTTTGTTCCATCAGGGCCAATAGCCTGCGTTCCGCTAATAGAAGCAAGCAAAACTAAAGAACCCAGGCTATGTCACTCTTTCTTGTAGCTGTAAGAAAAAAAATGCATCATGTAGTTACTGAAACTGTTATTAGTTTATTTTAAATTTTAGTTAAACTGAGCTTTATTGTAAAAATTCTGTATTTCTTTTTCTGAGTGTTATGACATTCCTCTTAAAATAATCCAGAGCTATTAGTGCAACATACGTACCTGATCCAAACACCACTGCTGTTGGGGGTGTGTATGTGGAAATTTCACATACACCCGAGTCAACTTTGAATAATACAATTGTACGGTATCCTTGAGATTTCTCCTGGGCTATTTAAGAAGGTCTGTACAAAAGTATTTATAAAGACATTCCATGTATAGAATGGATAGGCTTTTCATGGAAAAATCTGTATTGTTTTCTATTAATTTCTATAATGTTTTCCCACAAGAGGTGCATGTTTCTTGTAATATCTCCATTATGCATTTGAATACTTATATTTTACTGCTTAAAGTAGTGTTATAGATACGTAACTCATGTTGGATTTTCACCTTTTATGTTTCAATGAATAAACAGCTTTAAAATAAAAGATGATGATGATCTTGCTCCTTAATTAGAAAGGTATGTGATATGTAGCATAGGAGAGATTCACATGTGTGTTTAGAGTGGCTCCTTAACCCACTTTTATAGTAATGAAAATATAGAGCAAATTAGCTAGAAATTAGCTAATGAATAGAAAATAGCTATGAATAATTTGTAGAAATTCTCATTCTGAAATCTATTTCCTCACACTGCTGGAATAAATTATAAAAATGTGGCTATGAATACTCCCTCTATGAGGCCACTAGGAATGTGAACAAGCAGACAATATCCTAGGTTGCCCTAGTCAGATCCTGTTTTGGCTTAAAATAGGAAGGTCAGAGGAAGCAAACAAGTAATATAATTTTTTTACCAGCTCTAGAAATGGAAGAGAGAAGAATTCTTGCAAGCCAAGGGGATTATATGTTCTTTGCTTTCAATTAATTTGCGAAAAAGAAAAATTTCTATTGCCTCCCCAAAGAAGAAAAGAAAAAATCTGCTTTGTTAAGATATGTGATGTGATTATGCCAGCAGATCATCTTTTAAAGAATACAGCATTTATAGCTTCTGTTAGTCTTCAATGTCATATTTATGTGCTAAAATCATTACCTACCTCTTTATAAGAAATTAATAGTCCAGTAAATATTAATGAATGCAAGGCAAAACAAAGTAAAATCCATCCAAAATCCCTTAATATGACAGAAGGCTCTAATGCTGCTTTTTTTTATTGTCAGTTTCTTTATCTTTGAAATATGTGGTTTGATTCTGACTTTGCAGTAGTTTGGTAGTATGAAAACTGCTTTGGCTTTAAGAGAGTTAGTCAAACTACAGTGTATCAAGCTAATGTTCTACTTGCTGATCCATTGCCCAAAACCAGCTTGAACTAAAATGAATGTGCCAATACTATTTGTTTGTATTTTATTGTTTTTCTGAGCTTAGGTCTATGATTATTGTGATTTCTCCTTGCTTTGTACTGAGTTCTGTAAAAGTGGTCAGTGCTTTGCTGGTGGAGAAGTACTAGCAGCTCACAGACTTATCATCTGGACAGAAGATGGCCACAGTTACATCTACCAGCTGCTAAACAGGTGGGCTCAGATGGGAAATTCACACAAAAAGTTCAGGTAGAAGATGAACTTTGGGAGGTTTATTATGGAAAAACTCTGCATGTTGCAAATGATCAAAAACCAGAACAAAACCACTTTGGCACTCGAAGATTTACCCTGAGTGTGACAGCCCTCAGTCTTTGTTTGACACAGCAGGGGACACAGGAATAAGATTAGCCATGTAGAACTTGGACAGCTGGTGCTGTGATTTCAAAAAGTCGCTTGTAATTACTTATTCAGTAACTTTTAATTGAACTTGTGAATCTTGGTTGTTACTGTTCTGTTTTCTAAAAAATATTACTTTCTAAAGTTTTTAATTTTCCTTTTTTTTTTTCTTTTTTTTTTTTCCAAATTATGCAGTGGGCTTTCTAGAAGCATATATCCTGCTGATGGGAAGGTGCTGAAAGAAACTGTTTATCCTCATTTACTTTGCTTTACTGGTGTGAGGGAAAATAAGGTAAATTCATAAAAGTTTACAGTGAGCTTCAAAAGTTCATTCATTACTTGTTTGCAATTACCTGAATCCCTAAAAAATTGTTGAATTAATCAACAGATTTAATTGTTCTATGAAAACAGTGAGTAAGACATTCCTTCATTTTAAAATTTTTACTTACAGACTTGGAGATGCTCATAGCATATTTTTGTCTTAAAATTTGGCAATATTTACTTTTTTCACAGGGAAAAAAATTCCTGTATTTTCAACTATAGGCTAATTATTGAAATAGGCTAATAGTTGAAATGATTTTTTTCTTATTTTGGCAAAAAAGGGAGAGCTTTTTTAAGTTAAAGGTGGTCTAATATAGCTTTAGAAGCTTTTAATTTCAAATCTGTAAGGAAAAAAAACCCACAAAAAACCCAACAATAAAAAAACCAACCCACAAACAAAATGTAAGCAAGTTGCTTAGTTCTTGTTTTGTTAAGAAATATATGCATGTTTCAGTGTAACTACATAAATAGGTTGTTTCCCATGTGTATCCATCCTAAATTGAAGGGATTTGAATCTGTGACATTTTATCCAGAATACTGTTATCTTGAGCCTTCAGAGGCATAATCGCATGCCTAACTTTCTTACACTGTGAGCAGATTGATAGTACCCATAGTGCATAAAATTAGACACATGTGACTCTCTTCAGAACCATGGTCTCTGTTTGAAGAAGCCACTATGGTTAAAAAAAGAGAAAGCTAAAAAAGTAGGTGATATTTATACTTCTGATTGAGAATTCATGGTTAGCAGAGAATGTCACACCAATTTCAAATTTAGAAGTTAGTGCTTAGACGAAGTAGCTCAAGTGGACTCAGCTATGTTGGAAAACCTGCATCTTGACTCACTTCTTGAGTAGTGGTTTGTGTGACCACAAAGAAATAGGTAAGGAAAAACAGTTGATTTAAAAACTAGAAAATTGATTAGAATTAGGAAGTAGGGAAAAAAAATCTGTGGCAGTGGTTCTTATTTGGCAAAAATTGAACCAAAACAAATATAACAGATTTTTCTGTGTAGCTTTGGTTCTGGTTTTGTTGCTAAGTCATATTGCTAATACTGTTTATGAAATAGCAATTGGTGGAAGATGGGGATTTAATTCCTGCCCGCAGTTGCATTAGTTTGATGTGTATTTGCATGAGAACTCAAGCAGGTCTTTAAAGAGTTTCTGGATATATGTAAGGGAGACATATTTTTATTTGTACCCGATTAGAAACTGTCAAATATATACCTATGTGAGGTTTTCCAGTGTTCTTTTTTCCTTCTGTTGACAGCTATAGGCTCTTAGAAAGCCTTTTTGTTGCATACTCTTGCGAAGCCTGACAGATTTAATTTTCAGTTGAAGGGCAATAGCACAAGCCATTCAGCTTTTCCCCCAAACACTGTGATCTAAAATCAGATAGGATAACTGCTGAAGGATGCCAAAAGGTCAGATATCGTGAGGGAAAAGAAATAGCCAAAACACGTGGTTTAGCAGATAATAGGGTTATGGTGGTGGTAGAAAGCCCATATATGCTCCCCCAAAACGTATGCATTTTTTAAATAATGTCCCCTGCTCTTTTCTAATATTTCTGCTTTAATATTTACCTTACTACCTGAATAATTTTTATAGCAGATTTGTGAGACAACAAAACTGCCTGTGTGATGATCGTTTTGATCTCCATTCTTAAATTATAAACTGAACCACATTACAGTACAGATGCTTATTGTGGAATTTATTCCCAAACTTCAACGTTGTAAATAAAACATATCTAACATATGGGGATGTTATTAAAATGTCTTGAAGAAGCAAACAGAGTCAAGCTGTGTCTACACTATCTAAGTAAAGGTGATGGGTGGAACAAAACAGTTAGTGCTGATGACCTTTCACCCACACTATCTACAGTATAGGGTGTGCTTTTGGGGTTTTTTGGTGTGGGGGTTTTTTTGTGTGCTGCTGTACACATCTCCCAGTTTACTTTCATGCAAAAAGAATCCTGATTTGGCGCTCCAAGACAGCTCCACAACACAAACCTAAGCATTCACTTCCAAAGTACATGCCTGGTATAAACTGAAACATACTAATGTAGATATACCTGGAGATTCCTAATTTTTTTGATTTTGCGAGGGTTTCGAGCAACCAGAAGCTTCCCCTTAGATACCTCACCTGTTTTTAATAGTTTGATACTTGAGAATGAAGCTTATGTAACAACTTAACAGGGTGTTCTTGGCAAGTTACCAGTAGATTATCGCACAGTTTGGGTGTTACTGATGTGGTGATATAGAATTATCTGTGATGTTATACCTACTGGCAAGGAAAACCTACATACTTCTAGTTTTCATGGGAGAATAAGAACATGGTATTTTTCTGAAATAAATATACTGCAATAAGTTTTAGTGTTGACTAAATGAAACTAGGTAGATGTCAGTTAGTGTGTTTATCAATGGTATTATACCTCTCTAGTATCTTAACTTTTTCCAGATAACTGAATGATGGTGTTATAGACTGTTACCTATCTATGTAGAAGCATAATTCTTACCTTTCATTATTTGTAGTAATTTAAGCTATCATGATTGAAGCTTTTGTTTTGATGTGAAGATTATCAATGTTTCGCTGCATTTTTTTCAGCCTGATCTTGGTGCTTATGCTGCCATTTTTTTAATACGCTGGTGATACTATTAATAAATTCTCCATGTAGAGACAGTAAACCTAGGGAGCCCTCCCATTCTGCTTTTCCATTTGGGATGTAGGCTTAGCCAAGGATACTGGCAAAGCAAAGGTGATCTTCGAGGGGCTTGCACTAGGCAGAGTAGACTTGGTCTGAGCAGAACTTAGTGGCAGGTGAGGGTTCAACCATTATTTGTTTTATATTTTTGCAGCTTTTGATGTAAAAAAACCTTTGAATTTGCCATTAGCTGTTACATTATTTTATCAGCTCTTTCATGTCAGAGTATTGATTTACTGTTATTTTTGGCAGAGTTTCCCTTTTGTCATGGGCTTCATGAATGAAAGAAAGGAGCCTTTCTATAAGGTTCTTTTTTCTGGTGAAGCTTCAGGAAGGATCACCTTGTGGCATGTTCCTGATGTCCCTGTGTCAACATTTGATGGTTCACCAAAAGGTTTGGCAATTCTGTGCTCGATACCATCTTTTTAATTATGTCTTTAAGTTACTTTTCATGAAAACTTAAATTCTCATGAAAATATTTTCACACTAGAAAGTGATGCTCGTTCATTCATTGTGTGATGATTGCCTGTAGTTAGAAGGAGCAAGACACACAAAGATGAGTGTCTAGAAATTCTTCATGGAACTGAACAAATAAATGTTCCTATTTCCTTGCCATCTGCCCATAAATGTTCCTCTACCAAATGTCATAAAAATTTACTTAGTTGGTCCTGCTTAGGTTGTTCATAGGGAGGTATAAAAGAAAGGATTTAGTGAGATGTGATCTAGTGTTGGAATAGCAACTGCTGACTTTCCATCACTAGGCTGCAGAAAGGATAAGTTAAAGGAAGTGAGGAAGAGATGAAAATGTATATTTTGCTTTGTTTGTTTTTATTTTGTTTAAAATTGCTGACTCTTTTCCCCCACCCTCTAGAGATCCCAATTACAGCAACGTGGACTCTTCAGGATAATTTTGATAAACACCATTCAATGTCAAAGGGCATTATTGATCATCTTTGTGCATCTAAAGATGGAATCGGAAGTGCAGTTGTCAGTTCCTCTGTATACATACCCAGTCTTGATAAGCTCGTGTGTGGATGTGAAAATGGGAAAATTTTCGTAACACTAGGTTTGAAAACTGCAAGAGCAAGACTTTTAGAAAACATATCTCTGCTGAAAGGTAAGTTTTAACGATTTTGTCCAAATTAATCTCAGTCAAGCACAGAAGACTGCGTACTTCTGACATCCCCTCCAGTGATCCCTGTAAAAATTATCTGAAAAATAGGGGTGATGGTCAGGGATTGAATGAGGAAAATGGAAGATTATGATCTTCTTTCTCCCTCTGTAGCGGATCTATCAGATCACAGCTTAGTACTACCATGGTGCTTTGCACTGTTAGGAGTCCTGGAATGGCTGTGGGGATGGAGTCACCTGGAAGTGAGATATGTGGATGTCACGATATGGGCAGTAGTCATCTTTGTCATTTTCCCTCTAAAAGATCATTCCGCTGAAGGAATAAAAACGGTACATCTCAGTAGATGAAGCTCAGAGTGCAGACCTTTGTCCTCCCTTTTAGAAACATGTCCAGATTTGTCTGATGCCACGTAAAGGATTGTTGTATTTAATCTTTTGAATCTTCTGACTTTTTGCAAATGTACTGTAAAATATGGAACCTCTATTCTTAGAACAGAGATCATTTATGTACCATCTTGTTTCAGATAATCTACCTTATAAAGTTCTGAACGGTCATAGTAGCAGAGTCACTTGTTTACTCTATCCACATGATAAATCAGTAAGATTTGATCCAAGCTGGCTGTTATCAGGGGGCCAGGATTCTATTGTGATGTGCTGGGATATATTTACTGGGGGCATCTTGCACCAATTTAGCCTGCAGTCTGGTCCAGTGACAGAGCTCTTGCGATCTCCAGAAGACTACAAAGTAAGTAAAAGCATAATGAATGGTGTCTCAAAAAAAAAAAAAAGTATACATGTATATATATGAGAGAGAAAAAACTATCTGGCAATACTTTTATCCTGCAGCATTTTATTCTTAATTTACATTCATTTAATTGTCTTGTTTAAAAGTTGCTTTTAATTTCAGGGGCTTGATTTCTTGTTTGTAATTTCAGTGATTCTGAAAAATGATCCTAAACCAGTGACACATTAAATTCAAGCTCCTAAAGTTCTATTCACCATTTTTAATATCATGATTGTCAATCTGTATGTTAATCTGATTATGTTCTAACTTCTGAAGTTAAAAAGTGTAATCAGTAAGACTAGGGGTTTGAACATAGTAAGAAAAGATTTGGACCAATAGTATTTTCATCTAAATGTGTATGCTTGATTTTGGTTCCTGACATATCCTTGTGGTCCTTTGCATGTATACTTTTGTAGTTTATGACATTTAGAATAATTTTGTATGTTTTTCTTTAAGTGAATTTTGAAGTAAAAATTTAGAAGAAGATTTACTGTACTGAATGCTCTATGAAATTTTGTTGAACAAATTCTGTCCCTATTGTATTCCACGGGGCTGAAATCTTTTTCCTCTTAAAAAGCCTGTGAAGACATGTTTGGTACTTATGGTTGACTCAGAGTTCGCTTACGTGCCAACATTAAGTAGTCCAAAAGATGTTTTGCAATGGCATAAGTTCTTAATGCTTGTAAGGCTCTCTTTAGCCCTTTTTCTGGAAACTAGGTAGGATTTAATGTGTGCTTGGATGGCGTTTCAGTTCTCTTTACAGGGCTGAATTTTTCCGTAGGGCAAATTCCTTCATGTCACCAAAAATTACTTGTAGGAAGGGAAGGCTTTGCAGAATCAGATCCATACAGTGTGAAATGAAATTGTAACATACTCAATTCTTTGTTAGAAATTCATTGCCCTTGGCTTTTGTGTCATAAGACCTGACATAATTTTATATCACATGAACAGCGGTTTGGTGTAAGGTAATTTTTTACTACTTTCTCTTCTAGGACAACTGCTACTGTATATTTAGTTATATAATCACTGCTTGATAGGCTTAAGTATTGTGAATAAATGGTATTTAAATTATTTTTTTAAAAATTGAAAAATCAGAGGAGATTGTACGTTTTCCTGTCAACAGATCAGTTGTACAGCTAGCCTGTTAAAAACAAGTTGGAGATGTAGGCTGAAATAAAACATCATTTTCTAAAATGAGTATGTTCAGGGAAAGAAATCACTGGGCAACTTTTACCAGGCTTGTTAAAATGATGTGGTTATGACTGTGGTTACAGTGTTGAAACTGAAGTGCTTTCTGTTTTGCAGTTGAAAGATCACAGCATAGTGTGCTGTGTGTGCAGTGATCATTCAGTAGCAATTCTACACCTTCAGAAGAAAGTATGTCTCTTACATGCCAGAAAGCATCTGTTTCCTGTGAAGAAGATAAAATTTGACCCTGTTGAAAATCTTCTAATTGTTGGATGTGAAGATGATTCAGTTTATATCTGGGAAATTGAAACAGGTGATGAGAGAGGGTTTTTTTTTGTTTACTTTCCTTAAGTTTTGTTTGTCTGTCATGTGGTGTTATACAAACCTAGTTTATAGAATACCAAAGCAGAAATACTGACACATGAATACATTAATTAGAGAGTTTAAAAGTTTATATAAACAAGCAAGAAATAAAATTTTCGTATGGTTCAAGGTATGTCACTAATAAAATACAACAGCTTAAGTCAGATCCTGACCATCAGATGATTAGCTGAGATTGCAGTGAATTGAGTAGAATATTTCTGGACGCTATTAAAAAAAGTCAGTTATTCTCTTTAGTTATTAAAAAGAATGAGATTTTCAGTCCTAACAATCCCAAATTAGAGCACGAAGTTCTGCTTGCTTCAGCAGAAGAAACCTCATAATCTGAAAAACCTTTGCAGTTAATTGATAATTAGTTAATAATGGAAGATAATTGCAAAGCTCACAACTGTATAGTCAGGAAAACTAAAGCTGAGTGTTTCAGGTTAAACTGTAGATTCCCAGATGATTTGAGAGTGTAATGCTGATTCACAAGGGTAATAAATATAGTTATTTGAACATTGACAGACAGAACTATTAGAAGCTGTAATGGTACAAGACATTACGATACAGTGTTTCCATGTGATTCAGAGCTATGTGTCCTGGGATGGGGGAAGTGCATAATGAGGCTAGAACCACTGAAATGCACAAGATATTAATACTGTATGAAAACATAGTTTTACTAATGTAACACTGAGATCACAATTTACTTTACAAGTTATTACAACACACTGTCTAGGCTGTCTGCTTTGGATAAAGAAGTCCCTTGTTTTAAAGTACAAAATATCTATCAATGAAGGACTTGGCAAAATGAGTACAGCATAAATTACAAGCCTGTTATGTTAGTAAGCTATTTAATATCATTAAGCTACTGGTGTAGGAAATGCCTTCTAGTATTTATTCTTTTCCCAAATGTACTGAGTTGCTCCTTTAAAAAGGTTTAGAATAAAATTAAGTTGGACTAACAATTATAGTCAGTTAAAACCCCTGGTTTCACATTGGTGTTTTCCTACAGCTACTCAAAAATATGAAGTTCTCTTACAAAGTTCTCATATTTTTGCATTGTATTTTAAGATTTAAAAACTTTAAAATCTTTTTGTTAAAAAATATCAATAAAAAATTCAGAAGAGAAGGTGTGACCTTAGGAGACTATTAGATTGTACATCGGGTTGTACTTATTTTTCTTTGCTGTGTTATTGTTGCAGAGTGACTATATAATGATTTTGCTTAGAATTTTAGCTTTAGTTGCACTGCTGGAAAAAACAATACACAGTCAATTCAAAAGTAAGTACTAGGCTCTGAGTTAGGGTACTTTAAACTTGTTATCCTGCTTTTATTTGTTTATTTAGTTGTTTCCTGTGTAACTTTAAATTCTGTTTTATGGTAAATATCTAAGATTCTTCTTATGTGTGTTCTGCTAGTTATGTAGATGCCTGATATTAGTTTTCAGTGCATCTTCTCCAGTCAGGAGGGGGCACGTGTTCTACCCTTCTGCTCAATCCTCTTTCTGGAAGGTTTGTGAAACAGTACTGTCTTGGGATCCTTCTTCCTGTCTTGTCATTCCTCTAATCCCTTCATTTTACTAGTCTTTTCAGCACATCTGCACTATTGCACGTTGTTACTTCCCTCTCCTCTTTTCTCCTCCCTGTGAAAGGAAGAATGTTTCCTCTCCAATGTGTTCTTTTCTGTTCCTAAAAGTATTACTAGATCTAGTGATTATTTCCCCCCTGTAATGGCAGCATGCACTTTGTCTGTGCAAATAGTATTTCTGTTAACAGTAAAAGCTGTAAGCTATATCTGCCCCATACTTTAGCATAAAGTAAATAGCAAAAATGAGAAATTAATTTGATTCTTGTCACTGCCTAAGTGCTTGTTTTGTAGCAATTGCAGAAAGGTCACCTTTACTACTGGTAAAGCATTAGAGGTAGAACGGAAAGATATTGTACTAGATCCCTGTTGTAACTAAGGGAAACTAGAGCAGACACCTAAATGTTCAGCAATCATTAATAAATACACGTTTTTATGGAGAAGTTTGTAAAGATGCTACCAGTGTTCTATCTACATCTTCATTGCTCTTTTAAAACTAATGTTGAAAACAGTTGAGAAATTTAGGTGGAGGCAATCTTGATGTAGAGTGTTTTCTTTTATTTCACAGTTAAAAAGGCCATTTCTCAAAAAAACGTGTAACTGTAGGTAGGCTTTTTCCTGAGTGCATAATTTGAGTGAGACATCCTTGAAGGTCATTATACCTAATATACCTAAATGTTTATTAGCATTTCTTGTAGAGTCATCTTTTAACCAAAGGATTAGTGTGCATTTGAAACTTTGCAATAAAATTGAGCAAATAAATGTAATAAAGGACCACAGAATATTTTGTTTCCGTATAAATCCGTTGTCATAGCTGTCATTTTTAACTGATTTGCATCAGTTATTTTCTATCAGAACTCAATCACTTTGTTTAAAAAAGGAAATAGACAAGATATTAAAGCTCTAAAACACTGATGTTGAGCATGCAATGATTATTTTTCATACATACTTTTATAATGCATTTGTTACGGATTGATCATAGTCTGTGCTGTTGTTATATTTGTAGGATACAGTGTAACAGCTCCTCAGGTGCTCCTATGATGTGAATTAAGGTTAAGCTCACTAAGTGGCAAGTCTTAATGTGCCTCTTGACAATACATTGGATTCTAAGGGGACTCAGACCCCACAGTATGTCAATGCAACACTTAATTTCCTTCTTAAAAAAACAAACAAAAAACCAAAACCCAAACAACAAAAAAAACCCCTCAAACCAACCAACCAAACAAAAAAAACCCCCAAACTTCAAGCCAAAATGACTATGCTACTGATACGAAAAAGAGTATAATTTAATCCATCATAGCACAAAAAGTTAGTTTAAAAGTTGAATTATTAACAAAGCTTATTTCTAGAGCTGTAGTGGCATCATGAAGAAATACACTAGTTCATATCAAGGCATATCTTTAGTAGGACTTGTGTTGCACACTAGTGTCTGCAGGAGGATAGCAGTATACAACAGAATTGTTGTGTTGTGCTCTAAGAAGGGGGGGCTATGTTTTGTACTTAATTTTAACACTTTTACGATAAACATAACATCGTTATTTTCTTTGTTTTAGATTTTTCGTGGAAAGTGTGTATTCTGGTAAAAAAATTTTGAAAATTTAAGTGTATCCCACATCTAAAAAAAAATTATGCAAGTTTCCAGCTTTTTACTTTTTCAGCCTTTCAGTATTCTTATTACTTTGTGGAACGTATACTATTAACTAGAAATAGTGCTGACAGAGCATAGGTATTCCAAACTTCTGGGGCTAAGTAAATAATTCTAAATAATTCACCCTGTCATTTTCAAATTGAAACTTTTGGCTGTTGATTTAAAGAAGTCATCTGTGTAAGCCTGAGAAAAGGCAGTTCCATGTGTGGTATTAGAGAAGGCCAAGTCTGCACTGCTCCGAAAGATATCTTGCAGGATTAAATGGTACCTAGGCAGTGTATGCCTTTGAAATAACTCCTGACAGTGGGGATACTTTTACCCCCACAGTGTGGTGCAATGAGGTTCTTCCTTAGTTAAAAAAACCCCAAACCCACACCAAACAAACAATCATTTCTTTCTTAGATTACTAGACAGTAAATATTGTGGAGTGAAATCAGTGCTGCTGCTGTGTATGCATAACAACATGGAAAATGCCTTTGACTCATTAATTCTATACAGATGCTAGGCTAAAATGCAAATTGCTGCAGTCAACAATATAAGAACTAATAGCTTCTATTGCCATACAATGCCCAAGGCAGCAGAAAGAAGCTAAGGGTCTGGAGACAGAATTACATCTCAGATGCAACTTTTAGTACAGCTAGATAACTTCGCACTAAAGGATAGTGAATTCTTTGTAAATCAGTGAGATTTAATAGATTTAATAGCATAGGACTGTAATGGTACCATAGAGACAAAAATTGGAGTATAGTTTTAACTGTCTCTCCTTTAGCTATAAAAATGCTGCCTGTTTCAAAATTAAAGATAAAGTAAAATTGATGCTACTGCTCGTGTATATTACATATTCAGAAAGGATGCAGATAGTTAAGTGTGATTTTTTTCTTTTTTTTTTTTTTTTAAATTGCTTTTTCTATGTCTTTTGTTACTAGTATCAAGCAAGAATGAGAGCTACAATCACCATCTCTTAAGGAATAGCTGGAACACAAGAAAGTGATGCTGTTATTTGCTACATTAGCAATTAACAAATCAATTTTTTTTTTGTTCCTGTTACGCATTGGTAACTAAAAGATACCATCTAGGGTGAATACCTGGGAAAACCTACTGGCATATACTGTAGTTGTTTTAATGTGAATTTTATCTGTATTGCAGGACAACATGAGAGGTCATGGCGTTGATTCTTGAAATTGGCCTGACCTAGATCAAGAGCTATGTAGATACTTCAGTGCCACTCAGGCAGACAAAGCGTTGTTCGTATGTATGGGAAAGATGTATACAGCATCACAGACAACCCTCTGTAGAAACACAGCAGCCTTTCATTATGATTTTCATCTGTTGGCAAATGAACAGGCAGCCGTGCATAGTACCACTTGCCTATACAGTTACCTGTGGGCATGTTCCCTCAGTCAGTTAAATAGGATAAAGTTTAAGTGGTAGCCTTGTGCTTGGATTCCATTACGGGAATGGGCATAAGGTAACATTTTTGTTGTTTCTGTAGTAAAAAAGTGTTTTTCTTTATTTTTCTTCCGGCTATGCAGTTAGCTTCATGACTGAGGCTTTGCCTCTTTAAGTGAAAGTCAGTGGAGAACCTGATTTTGTGTCAGACTCATATATCACTGTTTGCAGTTTAAAAAAGATCTGAACAGTGTTACTGTACTAGAGTTAATGGATAACTGGGAAAACAGCCAGTCTGTTTATAATTTCAGGCTGTGGATTAAGGAATT